GGGTGAAACAATTTCGTTAGGTATCGAAGCACCTACATTGCAGCTAATCCCAAATTTTTGCAGTAACTGTTKTGAAATTTTATTAATATGTTATATACATGGTATATATATATGCTGTTGCTGTGTATACGAGCAGTATATAATTGCCATGTGCGCGCTTGCTAACGAACCAGCTCGAATTGATTTTACTTMCGACTTCTGTGCTGGTAGCGGAACGTTTACACTGTACATCACATAGGCACACAGCTGGTGTAGTAATAATAATAATAATGCTCAGACATTAATCAAGATAAAAAAAAAAATATTTATAAAAAATGTATTTTTCTGATTACAGTCATTACACACGCAGGCCATAACGATATTATTATAAAAAAAAACACATAGAATCCCCGACCGGACAGGCTTACAGTCATCGCGTTTTGTTAAATGTTAAGTATAATATAATGGAGTTATTATGAAAACGTAATTCTTGAACTTGACGCAAACAGCATATTAGTATAATAATTATTGTAATGATAAYAACAATGTTTAGGTAGATATACGTACAATGTAGGTACATTATATATTTAATCGTTTAACTACATAGTCATTTTAATTTTTCTGATTGTCAATTTTTTACCATTTTAGTATCATAATATTTATGACAACATTTATGYAGTCRAAATAATWTATAGTATTTTGTATATTTTATCAATATTTTTTGTTGTTCAAATAAAACACGTTTACTAAACATTATATAAATACTTGTAAAATCATAAAAGCGTAGAATAATAATATACAAATATATACGTATATCATTRTCGAACTAATCCGTTGGTCGTTATATTATATTTTAATGAACATAAATTTCAATGACAAAGTTGATGCAAGTGTTTATGTGTGTATAATATAAGTACTTCTTTTTCGAATCTCCGATCATTATATTATCTCTACTCTTGGCATCTATTATTATTATTATTATTATTTTAACAATAATAATATCGATGTCTGGACTTTGTTCTATTGATTTGAAGATCGAAAAGTGTAACACGCGTGTCTATTGTGGCGCATTCAATTGGGAAAATACCTCTTGCAGTGTGTATATATTATAAGAGAAACTTATATGGAACAGAAAGTGTGTGATGTTTAATGTTCCGATTGAAAGGAAACGAGTTGAAAAGCGTTTATTATTATTATTAAAATAAGGTCAACATTGCGACCGAACCGAAAATGACGGGTTTACAAGTACCTACATTTACATATGTGTGCACTATACGTGCCACTCAACAATATGATTCCACCGGCTTCCGGAATCGGTGATCGTGTATCGTATTTCGTGTGTATTACAATAACCAAGTGAAGGACTACTTCTTCGTGAATTTATAACGAGGGTTACCTTAATACGTTGACGGTTTTCGTTTTAAAAATAATAAAAAACAAAATTGTTACAAATGCGGTAGGTAGGTAGATAGGTATATTATGCGAAAATGGAAACAATTTTTCAAAACCGTTTCTTGCGTATAATCCTATATAAGATGTATATATATTATAATATTTTATAATAACACAACCGGAAAGTGTAAGAAAAAATATTACTTCCGTCTGAAATACATACAACGATCTCGAGAAAAAATGAAGAAAAAAAAATGGTTCTGAAAATCCTGTTGTGTATCCTRCCTCCTACCTGCCTACCTAGTGCCTATATCAACCTATCTTTACTATGAAAGACATCTCTTATTTACACGGGACGGTGTCGACGTGTCCTTCGTTTTTTTCTCTCCGTCGTGCCGTTTTGGCCATTGTTGGCGTTTTATGGCGCTAAAGGCCCGCCGCCGGTACCTTTTCCGGGAGGGGGGGGAGGGGGGAGAAGAATGTTTGTAAAAAAAAATTAACCTCGATTTCCTCTGAATACACAAACATTCCAATACAAAGCACAACCCTTGGGGTGCGGGTTCCTATATTAAGAGAGGAGAAAAAAATCTGTCTTTTGTACGGAAGACATTAAGATTTATATGCTTGCGGCTCACTCACAATTGTCGCCAAGTTATTATTATTTTCTTTTGCCCCTAAAGGGACCGATAATAACGCGCATACACGGGTGTCCTCTCTATCATCCCTTGCGCGGCACTCGCGCATACACACACACACTCACACGCAAACCGTAAAATCTGTGGACATAATAATTCATCTCAACTGCAGTGGGGCGGGTGTCGGGTTTCTCGGCAACGTTCACTCGTGCCCGAAATTTCGGTACCGATTGTTTTTCTCTCTCTCTCTCTCCTTTTCTCGTTTGAAAATTAAAAGCCGCACATAATATATTATCTGTGCGTTATTATACTGTGTTGTTGTATATAACGACCCGTGAAAGACCGAATCGTATATTATTGTATACACGAATATTATATATATTGATCTATCGCATTTTCGCGGTAACTATACTCAAACATTATAATGTATATAGGTACACAATAAGACGGGACGGATTAAAAGATAAACGTAAATTACAATATATTATAATATTAGAGTGTAAATTATTACTCATTACTCGGGAGTGCACATTTGTATACGTATATATTATATACACACTCTGCAGGCGGGCAATAAGTCGTTGCAGCGATAAGATAGTTTAATCCATTTTAGATTTGGAGGGCTGCATCATAGCCGTACATCATATAATATATTATTATAAATTACAAAGTATCGTACAGAAGTCGTGTACCTACCTACTGCTGTATCATAATATAGGTATGAGTACCATGAGATGTATTGCATTGAAAGGACGAACACACTGCAATCACGTCCTGGCAACAAACACGTGGTTGACAAATTTTTTTTCGTCTCGAACATTAATTGACGTATTGATATTCCTGTCCTCGAGGCGCCCTTGTCGATACGGRCGGCAATAACGTCGGTGGTGTACTATTTAAGTATTCATGCCAACCGATTTCGGTACCTATACATATTCGGTATCGGTGTATAATAATCCTCGAGCATTATTGAATATTAATATCCGACGTAGACGTGATAAAGATGATTGCAGTTCGCCTTTAATTTCGATGTCACGCGCAGTTATATAATATACGCATATTATTATCGAACAATGGATTGCATATTATCTATAGCTTTACTAGCTATAATTTGTTTTTTATATTCTTTTTGCGCATCCCGCCTCTTGTAAGWTTTAATTGGAACGATCGTCGCGATCGCGAACGGAAACACAATCCATTATAAGTCGTAACTCACAGTTTGCATATAATACTAATATGTCGTAACGTGTATAATAAATTGATATAGGAAATTGCAGTTGTCCGAGGTGCAAAAACGATTTATATCGCTGGTGAGTGGCGCGACACTTGATAAATCATGGTAAAAATAACTAATGAAAGCGTGTATTGTACAGGTATCCACGCAATTTTTCAAGTGGAAAACTATAGGTATGTATATGTATCTACTCATTATACATTGTGATAAAATATTCACTTAAGTCATATAATAATTCGAGAAGAAAATAAAAAAAATGCGAATATTCATTATTGTTCATCAGTTATATAATATAGACACTTATACGAGATAGATAAAGTTCGAAAAATTGTCTTTTATGTAAAACCAATCCACGAAGATAGTTTTTCTTTTTAATGTATGCTATCGAAGTGCCTTGCACATTTTAATTGTATTCGTCATAACAATAGTCTAGGACCAAAAGCGGTGTATTACTCATCATACATTATATACACTTCCTAAATATATACGAACGGGTTATTCGAGATGAATAATAAATAGTTTCATCAAATTTTAATTGATTGTTAAATAAATCWAATACTAAATACCTATACAAAGTATCATTGACTATATCAAGTTATAAATTATAATTCGATAAAACGTGTATCCATACAAATGATCAYATTGGAAATCTCATCCAATATAATAGGTTTGATTTATATTTTTGTTGGTCTATATGAAAATCAACTCGAATGACAGTATAATATTACCAATGTTATTTCAAGGAACCACTCAGATCATTAAACTAAAGCGTGTTAAGTAAATATTACTATTTTCAAGTCGTGTATACATTTCTAGTTCACCTTTGGCTCACAGCCCAATCACTTAATTCGTTCGGTGTTTTTATAGGGATTTAGATTGATATTTATGTCAGAAAGCAATGGGTCAGAGGGATCTTAAACTTTAACACGATTTTAGTAAATTAATTATTTTAATGGGATTTTATCCAAGACCTTAAAATAAAACGGAACAGCTACGGATGAGGTTACAGTCTTGTAACATTTAACGCGTTGTTAAGTCTTTTGATACAGTTTTGTCCGTTGGTTAAAATAAATAAATTAAATTTTAATGAACTGATCCATTAGTATCTTAGTTACAGAACATACGTTACATTTATACATATATACGTGTAAGCGTGTGTACCTACGATTAGACTCTATGAAGCTTAAGACTTAATACAATTACCACAAAAGGTCACGTAATATTATATTAAAGTATTTTAACAGTATTGAGATATTCAGATTGAACCTATTTAGATTGCAAAATAGTATGGAGATCGTTGGAGCCCAGTGGTATCCTTAGCTAAATTTGGAACGCTGCGGMCGATTGAGGTTAAAATAAAATGTATAAATATAAAAACAACAACAATAATATACAAACTGCAGCTGCTGTCCCGGCATCCAAAGATAATGTAGCGAGGTTTTTAAAATTGTGTTTGGCGACTGTCCACAGCGTATGGTTTACTAAATAATAATAAAAATAATAATAATAATAACGATATATAGTACGGACATGTTGATTACAATGAATTATTATTGCCGACAACGGGATCCTCGTCGTGACAGGAAGGTTCTGACAGAAAAATACACACACGCACAATACATATTATTATATGTGTGTGTGTGGGTGGGTGTATGTGTGTGTACACATACGACGTTTTATTACCGATTTCGTTGGATTTATGTGCCGTTCGATGAATACGTCTTATTCTGGAAGTAATTTATCGTTTTCTTGTGTTTCAGGAGACAATCTGAAAGTGTGTCAGTCGAGGAAGAGCTGTTGCAACGCCGCCACCGAGGCTCGGTTGATAGACATGGTGGACAGCGAATACAAGAGACACCTGGCCACGCAGGCGGGCTACGTTTATGACCTGCTCAATTCTACCGCCCATCACTTGCAAGGTAAACAGAAAACAAAATAAAATAAAAATAAAAATAAGAGAAAAAATGTG